TATTACTTATTACTAATAATAAATTATGAGTATTGAAGTATAAAACGCTTAGATCTAGTAGGCGAAATATTTGTGTACAATATTTGGTTATACTTTGCAGTTTAATGCTTGATTATGGTGTATAACAGCTAACGTCCAGCGAACGGTGGATATTGCTTGGGAAATATTTTCGCAAGCTCTCTGTGAAAATATGGCGTTTTAAATAATACTTGCGAGTTGCGGCACAGCGAGCCATAGCATTATTTCGTTGGAAACATTTGCGTAACAAATGGTTTTACGAATATATAACAATATCAATAATAATATATATACATTCATATTTATAATGTAATAGTATGAAATAATATGAAACAAAATATTTACGAGTTTTAAATAGGTACTTGCTACTATAAAAAAAATTATGAGGAAATGTCTATAAAATATAATATATGCTAACTCAACCATTAAAAAGTTATTATTTGTAAGAAAAATACAATGAACCGATAATTTATAATAACACCGAGCTCAAACAATATTTATTATATTTTTGAAATGAATTGTGTATCACTGATTCGTCGATTTATAACAGTTATAATTGAGGAAAGTCAAAAAAATATTTGAAAACTATATAACTCATATGGGTAAGTTGACGTATAATGATTAAAACCGAAAGTTTGTATGGTGTATATTATCATTATAAATGTAGAATAATTAAGTAGATAGTGATAATATTATGTATCGAAATGTATTCAATTCGGACATAATACAGGTACATTGTTCTAATGAACTCGTTTCAAAACCTATTTTGTATTCAATAGTAATAACGAACGGAACAATATGGCAAAAACACGCACACGCAGGTCGTTTCGAGTGAACTCTTATAAAAAGTTAAAAGACCATACGATACGGTAGGGACATAATAAAACTTTTATCGAACTCGTCCATCTAGTGAATCTCGACCGGCTCTTTAAAGTTTAAATCACTGGACCGGTCGATCAGTGGACGCTCGAGAACTTATATTCACCAGCCATAATCTGCATGAGCACTACCTCCGTGTTATAACAGTCGTCCGATGTAATACATCAATAATACGCATATACATAGTACCTACGTATAATTGTGTAGTTCCTATATATTTTTATGCGCATAAATTTAACCCAACGCGTACGAGAAATTATTATTACATATTATAATACTATCGTCGTGTCCATTCGTGCAAAATTCTATATCACTGTCTGGGCATTAATAATCCGAACCCGTCACGACCGTCGTTTTCTATGATATTATTATTACACCTATAGGCAGGTGCGTTATGCGAAATTACATTAAAACACGTAGGTATACATGCATATACATATTATATCGATGCAGCAGTATAATAATTTTTACACTCTCGTTGGAAAGCACTTTTCTCCGCACGTTCGCCCGGACCATAAGCACATGACTGTACGGACATATAATAATATAATCATAATGAAGCTGCGGCGGCCGGTGGTCAATAATTATTATTACACAGCGGTCGACATAAAGCTGTAGTCGCGAGGCAACGAGTTGTGCGGCAGCGACGACACCTTAAAGAAAGAAAGAAAGCGAATGCGTTCCGAAAAATTACAGGTAAACGCGTTTTCGTGTCCTCGGGGTATGCGCAGCTGTATCGGCGGCGTTCGCAGTGTGTGCGCATAATACATGATGGCGGTACGTCATTTTGCATGGGCTCGACGACCGGTGTTTATGGCGTTAATAAAACCGGACGAGCGAAAAATATTCGAAAATTAAATAATAGGTGCGTAACGTTAATCGGATATAATGTTATGACGATATAATAATAACAATAAATATGTTATGTTATTATATTTTCAAATAAGTATACTTCCTCCTCCCCCGGCGACTGTATATATTACTATATTATACTGTACGCGTGCATATACATACCGTATACATATATATATATATACATGCCGTGTATATCGGAGCTTTCACTCGCGACCATGCACTAACAATGGTCCGGTAGTCGATACGAATAATTTTTTTTTGGAAACGGCGTATTACTATCATTAAGTCGTATCGGCTTACGATATCGTGTTATAGTCAACAATAGCAGTGATGATGTACCTGCCTACGCAATACATAATATAATAACGAAGACTTCGGCGGTAGATATGATGTTTCCATCCCGTTCAACAAAAAAAGCATAATATTCAAAGTGCACAACCGGTTTTTACCGTTCACGATATTATTATTATCATATATTATATATTATATTGGCCCAATCCCGAGCTCGCGCAACCGCGATGATTTCACTTTCCATCCGCCGCCGCACAGCCCTGGGGCTCCCGAAAGCCATTGTTTCTGGTAATGAGGAAGGCGGCGAAAGTTCCTTGTCGTTAATACAATGTGCATATACTTTTTGCCGGTGCGATTACATTACTGCAGCAGTAATAATATTACTTATCATGTCTGTACAATATATATATTTATATATTCTATTATGAATGCTATTATACAAATCGTAAAAAGCTGATAACGAATAATAAAAATCGGAAAAAAGTAATAAATATCAATAAAATATCGAAGCAGAATAACTGGAAATAAACTTGCGGCTCGGTGTGCGAATGGCCTACAGCTATGGTTTGCCTTTCTAAAGGGTCGAGTGGATTGCAAGCGCAATTGCATAATCATTATCGTGTACACATACACACGGGCCGGCGAGTAAGTGCGTTACGGTAATCCGATAGAAACATGCCTAATTAATATTCCTTTTTATTATTGTTTAGTCTAACCCTCGGAGGTGTCTTCAGTGTTGACACGTTAAACCGTGTCATCGTGATCATAAAATGCAAGGATACAGGATTATCTATTGCCCATATTGGCTATTATATTATACTCGAATGTATTATTATTGTGATAATAATCACGTGTTTCAGAAATACCTGCAGCACTTCAGACCGTTATTGAAATTTTATGATTGTTCTTGAAGACCTATACGAGTTTATATGGCGCGGAGTACAAAATGCCGATAATCAAAGGTCGGTATGCGACTGTGCGCAAATGCAATACACGTTGGGTGAATTGTTTCATAGACGTGACTCACTATGTCCCAACTCCCAAGACACTTCCCCTACCGACACTGCTTAAATCTCATTCACATCGGATACGAAGAACATTCCATTGCGATGATTTAAATGCTAAGAATCATCCGCGTGCCCGGCCCTTTCGAAAAAAAATAATAGGTACAAGTCTTGTAGTTCCGTTTAACCGTATTGGATTATTGAAGAAAGTTATGTAACACTACATTTTATGACTCATCACTTTGACATTTATGAGCAATACTTATAATATCATTGATTATTATAACGCTCATTATAATAGAAGAGATTACGGTTTGGATTTTTAGGCACGTCATATAAAATTATAACATTATTGTTCTGGCTTTGGATATCACATAGGTAATTTGCTTAGGTAGGTAAATTATATTTAGCCCCGTGTAATAATATTATATAAGCGTAAATCGATAAAATTATTTCAAAATATATACATTTTTAAGTTAAGAAGTAACATACATCATATTAATATAGTTATTTTTATACCAATCAATTCACAATAAATTATGGTAAAATAATTTACTTTGATACATTGAATATCGATATTATTATGTCAGCATTTCACAGCAAAAGTGTAAAATAGTTATGTAATGTTTATCACATTTTTTATTATGTTTTCCCAATCAGAGGGTACCTACCCATATAGGTAACAAATTATAACAATTTTGAATTAAATCGTTTTTAATCTACTCAATTAGTAAAAATAATTCATATAATTAGATACCAATATAGTACATAGTTATTAGTTATTGATTATACAATTTTAATACATAAGTATTTAAAGTTTCACCAATCAACAGTTAACCTTGACTTATTTTTTGTCTCAGTTTTTATTTCTTTTAACAATTTAAACCAAAAGTAACTCATATTTTATAGCTTTTAATATTCAGTTAAAGTATTTGAATTTATGTATTTGTGATGGTTATACGTTTATTTAAATTGGATTTTTTCCTACACCAAAATAAAACTCTCTACGGGAGGTCATAAAATTGCCTCTAAATATTTTTGTATACTTTCTTTTGAACTTAAAATATATTATTTCTAAGCAATTATTATTATTTTCTGTTTTGAATCGTCATTTACATATGAAAATTAGGTAGCATCCGAGTTAGGTCCAGAAACTAAAATTCGTATACTAGCTGCAGAGTCCTGTATTTTTTTCTGTAAGTACCTACTACAACATTACACTAACTTGGTTCTTCCCATTTTAACAGACTTATGACTGTGATCTATTTTCACCCACAGATATAGGTAAAAATGTTTTTTTGCAATAAAAATATAAATTATTAAAATTATAAAAAATGTGATAAAAGTAGTCAATACAAACAAAAAAATACTAAAAATACATACTATAAAATATTAAACATGATTTTAAAATCACTTTAGCATGTTCATTAAACTGTGAAAACATGAATTATACAAAATCAAATCGACTTATATTTTCGGCAGACTTATACTTGACACGAAGTGAATTAATGCTTAAATTATTTATCAATAATACGGAGGAAACATTTTGATTTTCACCAAAGTGATATTTTTATATTTCATTTTATATTATATATGTATTTAAGATTCTAAGCGGAGCGATGAATGTTTTACTGGTTTCCCACCAGTATTTTCCCAGTGAATCTAGTTAGTGCATTTGATAGGGAAAATTAAACATTTTCATTTTTCAGTAGTTTTCCAAAGCATTGAGGAAAAAAACATTAAGAAAAATAACAATATTCACCGATGTTTATGTTAGCATTTTAAAATACACTATACATTTTCCAAAATATTTTGACTCTTTTTAAGCAATTTATAGGCATAAGAAAATTTCGATTGTTATTATAGTTTTTTTTTAAATTATTGTTGATAAAAAATTTTTGATTTTAAAATTTTAATATTTTTCCGTTTGTACTGTATATTTGTAATTTAATACACATAATATAATTCGGGACCCAGCTAGTGTATTACTTAAAGGCTTAACAAGGTGATTAACTCAGTGCTAGGGAGTAGGGACCCAACTATAGTATGCACCGAAAAATGCAGAATCATGTTTCATTCTACATTAAACTAATCCTTATTTATAGACTACAATAACAAAACGTATTTTAATATAAACAATATCAACTTTAAGTTTTATTGTAAGTATAATTTAATATAACATAATTTTTTCATAATTTATTACACTTACCTATCTGTGCAAGTACTGGATCCCAATTTTCCATATCAGATTGTAACTAAAAAATAAAAGAATATATTTTCCATTAGGTATATACTATATAATATCATATAAATTATCATTAAAAACCCATCATGATAATAGTTTTAATAATTTTAATATTAATAATAACAACGAATACCTATGTATTGTAGTATACTTAAATTATAATTTACACTGTGGAAATTCTGAATCAAATTAAAAATAAACCTTTATCCTCGTGTTGAATCATCATCAGGATATATGTAAGCTCAGCTTTCAAAAAAATATGAGAAGTAAGTGAACACAATATAATTGTATTTCATTATAAAAAAAAACAAAGAAAATAAGAAAAAAACCAGGATAAGATTTTTATAATTAAAAACTGGTCCGTCACAAGTTGCCTTGGGAAATAAGTTTTTATGTTTAGATGACGATAGAATCTGAACGTCACTGTACGGCTAGGGGGTGTATTCCTTGAAATTATGTTACACACATTATCTGTGTTCGTGTGTGATCCGACACCAGCATACTTTCACCTATTAGCCATAACTTAAAAGTATATGAGCAAGGTTCTTTTTCTTTCACTAAAACAGGAATACAGGATGAAAATCTTCAGGATGTGTTTGTCTTTCTATTGTTTTATTCATCACCAATACTTATTTCAATTTCCTAATGCCCGTTTAGATTATTAATAGGTTAATAACAATTAAAAAACATGAATGATTTACTAAAGTCCGAATATTTGTTTAGTGCAATTTCTTTTTTTTTTGGTTATAAATTCGATTACTGCAACAATTTTTTTCACTTTTATTGAGAAATTCTACTTAAACAATTTTTTCTTTTAATTTTTACTGTCACTAAAATTAAAATATCATTTTCAAATGTTGAGTTCTAGTTTCACTGTGAACCTTAAGCTAATTGGAATATTTTGGATTATGAACACCTCCCGACCTCTTTAAATAGGTACAGTACCCGTTCATTAATATCATACTATAACTAATAATCATAGAATTACCGATCTATTACTAATATTGATCGAATAAAAATGCTGTTCATAATATAAAACACTGAAATGCAGCATATGTAAATTAAAGACCGATCAACATTCAACAGTCGTTCAGTTTTTGCATTTTTCATTAGTACAAGTTAAAATCTACTAAAACGTTAGCGAGACATTCAGCACAAGGAGCATCGTGTAGGCAACTAAATGTACACGTTGGTGTTAGAACATGAAATAATATTCCATCAGCTTGAAGGTGGCTCGGTCAGATAAGTATAAATCATGTTTTATAGTTAAATATGCATTTAAAAACAATTTTTTCTTTTGAATAAATCATCAATTTTATCTATCAGATAATGTATACATCTGACTAAATAATCATGTTTATCAATTGTTGTGACGTATTTTATATTATAATATGAGAAAAACAAATTAAACTGATTATTGTAAAGATCTACTTTTTTTTTGTTATGTTTTGAAGGGGTGTGTAAAATAATATGTATTAAATATAAGTTTATTATTATTTTCTTTTGTGCGTATTTATTAATGAATGAGATCATAAAAATATGCTGAGTATCCACTGTGGAATTTAATATTTTATAATGAACCTTAATTCATTGAAGTTAAAAATTAAATAGTAAATGAATGGAGGCATGCAGTAAACATAATGATACTACAATAAGCAAATGAGCGTAGGTTGTGATATATATAAGCATAAATTATTTAAATAGAATTCCAACGAGTCAAATACTAAATGAAAAAAAAGTAATTGCTAGCAATATTTAAAAAATAGTGTCGGACACTCGTCATACTTCATTCATCTCTACACATAACAATATAACATAGACACAATACAAATATACAATATAGTGATTTATCATAATGAATAAATGTGAAGACAATGATAAATCATCATTCATAACATTTTAAAAACGATCCCAATTATGACTAAACATTAGGTGGGTATAGATAGTAGGTACTAGACATTTGAAATAAATATTAGAACAATTAATATTATAATTTAATTTCTAGTTACGATGAACTTAATACTAAACGAAAATTGACTTACTTCTTTGATGACTTGGCTACATTTATCAGCTACTTTCAACAATTTTTCAAATATTAAGTCATATTCTTCAATAGACAATATGTCCATTCTACGCAACGGCTCCCCATATAGTTCTTTGGCGGATTTCAGACATGTAATATATGCTACCTCATCGTAAATGAATTTTTCAGTAAGACAATATCTTCCATCGTTTTCTAATAAAAATAAAATACATACTCTTAAACTCAATTATTCAATAATATTATATAATACAACATTTAAATTATAGTTATTACTTAATATACATTAATACTGACACTTGTCTATTCAAGATCTGATCTATTTCAGAAAATGTATATTCACTTCACCTCTAAGATTTTAGACTTACACGATTTGTTATTATTAACCTTACACACCATGTCTTTGCACAAGTGTGGTGTCCTGTAAGGATTAATTATTTTTATAATTTTACGTGGCTGTGCTTAGACATAATATTACATCCACAGAATACAGATTCACCACATTAAATTAGAGAGTTCAGCTGTGTTCTAAGCACACATTTAGATACTATATATTGATTAAATTCAAAAAATTATACTATACCGCCAAAATGAAACCAAATGATTGCAATAAAAATATTAATAATAATTATAGTATTACATGAATAGTACAGACTATAACTATTGACTTCGTAGACCAAAAAATCATATGTTTTAAGGTCGATAAAAGTTTATAAATATAAGTTACATTAATTATGGTTTTAAGTTCATACATTTCAATGCATACACTTTCATTCAATTTGTTAACTAATTAAGAATTACGATGACATAATATTGAAGTAAAAAAAAAATTAACTGAAAATAAATAATTATTTAAATATTCATCATATTCCATAGTTAAACAGCCGTCAAGTAGGTAACCGCTGAACTGTGCAGTAGGTAAAGTGTACCTCGTCATTCAGTAGGTCATTGTAATGGATGTGTTAATTTTTTATGATAAATCATTGTACTCAATGATAGACGATTCTGAGCTAAGACAGTCTAACTATTTGGTAACCACGGTGTCGGTTACCAAACAATTCTTTTAATAATAATATTAAAATTTTAACAAATGTTCAAATTATTTTTTTGTTTTTTTCTCAATTATTTTGTTAATTACTGAGAATTTTTAATTTGGCCCTCACAAAAATATCAACTAGATTAGTTGTGGATCTAGGGAAGAGGCCTCAGCCCCCCTTTCAGACCTTTTCAACAGTATCTTTTAACTTAAAATATATTATATTATAATTATTATAGGTACCTAATTAACATAAACGATTTCTAATCCAACCATAATAAAATCAATAACATTCCCTCAATATCTTAATAACCATTTCTTTCATATTTTTAGGAGCAGGTGATCTAGAACATAATAATGTACTATGTATATATAATATGGCTTTGAAGTAATTTTGCAGGAGCCTCTCCACCTTCTCCCCAAAAAAAAAAATTCAAATATCACTAGATTCAATTTGATACCAGAAAGTTCGCAGTTGATGATTACTGCATTTTTCCACTAAAAAAAAATCTTCCAACCCAAAACGCCGTCCTTTGTATATATTATAAATAGTAATAAACTACAAGATATTTTTCCTCTGAAAGGAAAATTGAGGAATCGTAGATATTATTTTACTAGGTATAGTGCAGTACAAAAATATCTAGTAGCATGATACATTTTGTTATGGATTTAATTAAATTTGTTTCTCTGCTTTCCTATGGCAAATAAACTAAGCAGTAAGGAAATCGGACTTGTAAAAATCGATTAGAAAACCGAAGTTTTACTCAGCCCAAAACATATAAATGTAAAAAAAAACCCACACATCATTGAAAATCAATACATTCGCCCTTCTCAGAATTTAAAATGAAATCAATAATCAATATCCATGATTAATTTTGTTTAGCTTTATTTGTATAAGTTATAAAATAGAATATCTATTTAAAATTATCATTATATTATACTGACTCATATGTAGTTAAAAATTCAATGAATGTCTATTTAATAAAATTCATCAATTTTAATGTATATTGTGTTAATTTTATGTTTATTAGGTATAAGGCATTGGTATTGTGTAGTATTCTTATACAATATTGAAATATTTTCTTCGTACGATGAAACTACGGGCGACTCATGTAGGCAACTCTTATAGCACGGACGTCAAACAAGTGAAATGATATAAACAAAGAAGGGCGAACGTACGTATACAACAATATTGTATTATTTACCGTGCTTTTGGTCTGAACTGAATTGGTCTTCTTGCACGATCACGATGTCTCCGACAAGAAAATCAATGGTGGAGTTTTCATCAATCTCAGCTAATGACCCGCCCAGATAATAACCAGGCTGTTCCAGGCTGAATTCGAATACCAAACCGGCCAGCAATTGCTTAATCGTCTGATCACTAGATCCCGTCATCTGAAACATATACGAGATAAACTATTTATAAAGTTGTACGTTTTCTTTACGTTGTATGTTAAACAGTTTAAATCGAAAATTAATTTTTAATAATTTAGTTATTAGAAACAACAAATGGCAGACAATACACGACAACTGATCCAACTGTTAAACATTGTCAACTCTAATCATCATCCAGAATAAGGTCAACGCTATGGATGTCAATACGTCCAATGCATACAAATATGAGACAAGCCAGTACCCCCAGACATAAATAAAAACGATCAAAAATGTTAAAACTAGGGAATGAGTCACTGCACAAATTGCAGATATTATATATATTATATTATATTATATTATAATTATTATTCTTAGTGTATAAATGATCTGTGCTCTTTATTGTAGTATCTAGTGATCAAAATTTAAAGAAATATTATTTATAAACTTAGTCACGATAATTAGTGTCCGTAGAACGTTGTACGTGGACAATTTGTACAAAAATATAATTTGCTGGTGTTTACTATACTATGGTTTTTTTGTAGGTACTATCAAAACAATCTGTTACATATGTTATTGTAACTCTTTAAGTGATCTTTATAAAAATGAAAGTGTCAAATTTAATTTCACGGTTTACTATTAATTTTAGTAATCCCGTGCTCGTTAACCGTGAAATAATCATATAGCTGTGCACTCGTTATATCATACGGTGATTGTCTTGTTTGTTAAAATAAAATAGATGGACCTCAGTAAGTTGGCAGCTGGGTGACGCCTGTGCAGTGCCAAAACATTATTTTAATATTTAATTGTTAGGTCAACAAACAGCATACAAGTCTGACGACGTAACGAAATAAACGATATCACAGTAAATCTATTTTATGGAAATAAAACTCAAGCCAGAGGGCTTTTTAATCAAAATTCAAACTTGGACATTTACGAATGCGAATCGGTGGCGGCAATGACGCAGTACCTACCATTTAAAATACGTAGGTATTATTGCATAGCAAATAATATATTATATAACTGTATATAGTATGCACGCTTCAAGTGCAAAAGGATATTTTGAGAGAAATCCACGCATGCATGACCGTCGGTCCCTCCCTAATGTGGCCAGACGATGTAGCAAATAATAATTATGATGTAAAAAAAAAAAGCGTGTCAAACATTACAGCGGCCGAGCTGACGTGTTTGTGACGTGCAGCCTGCAGGATAAGCCACGAGCCAACGTAAAAAATATATATTTCGTTTGTTTTCAAATTTCCTAGAACTGCGGTCGCCCATTGAATTCGCAACTAATTCGCCGAACATTTGCACAGTTTGAGATTATTATTTTTCGCAAACGCTGGCGGTGTTTCGGCTATGATTCGACTCGTCCGCGAGCGCGCGCATAACGCGACGCACTCGATGGCGCAGCGTCATAATAACTCATAATATAATATTATTAAACGCCGGCCGTGAAACGCTAACGATCGTACGCCATTAATCGAATTATCATAATATTATAATGACGTTTCCCCCGTGTGCGTGTGTATTCATGTGTGTGCGCTTGTATATAATATACTATATAGATTATACCACCGCCGTCGTCGTACATGCGTGCGCCTAATAATAATATAATAATATATTATAAACGGTTCGGCGCGGAATCGAAAAAAAATTACACCCGCCGTGTAACGGTTGTCTGTGACCTTGCGTAAGGCCGTGGGTGAAATTTTCACACACGCGGCCAATAATAAAAATCGTATTACTGCATTTAAGGTCGTAAACTAGAGATCGCGTACAGTAGGTAATCGCAGCCTCCGGGCACGCGCAAACTACGAGCATCGCCGACGACGACCGGCCGAGGCAGAAGCAGATCGCCGACCGTAAACCGTTACGTCGTGGAGACGTTTATTTCTTACGTATTAAATTGTATTTATTATTTATACGCGTATAATATGTACTCGAAAAAACCCGTTTCGCGCAAACCGGGAAGATAACTCGGCGCATGTTATCGTCTACGCGAAAAATGAAAATACGCAGTGCCGAACAGAATAATATGCGCAGAGGTGCCCGTAGGCAGGTAGTAAAACAATATTTTGGTGGCCCGCAGCAGTCGAGCAAACGAAGAAAACTTTTCCGTACCTCAAGCTCCCCCGGAAAGGTTTCCTCGGAATCGTGTGATACTGCAGTGTAACGCCATGCATTATATAATATGCGTTTAACGGTAGATGGTACCTCACGTTGTAAACTTGTGACCGTACGATGGCCGTATGCCGTAAAAAATTATAATCTCTATTATAGTTACAGACTAAAGGCCGATGAAAATAAAATATAATCTCATCTAGTCGACAGACACGACAATTGAAAATAATAAAAGATCCATTGGCATAATAATATAGTATCGTCGTCGTCTTGTCTATGGCGTGTTTCTTTTCGATCGTACGTCAACTGATTTATGTGTATTATAGAACACGAGTACAAAATACAGTTTCTCCGAGATGTTCACCAATGTGAAATTTTAAACTGGATCGTCAAAACAAACTTCCTGGAAACCCGCTCGCAGAGATTTAAAAAAATATGTGATCGCGACGATTAATGGGTGTAGTTGTTTTTCAAACATCATGTCGAAACTGTTGGTCAATAGGCATATGGGATAATACTACGTATTGCTGACTACTGTTGGTAAAAATCAATATTCGTGTGTTGGACAGAGTAAAACACTGAAGATACCTATTATTAAGGTCACTGTGCAATATCAATAAACGATACTAATTCATTGATATTATTGGCGGTATGAAACTCAAATGGAAACTTAAACGCTTAGAGTTTGTTGTGTAATGATTTATACAATCGATTCTGCATATCATTTTCAATCTTTTAGCTGCAGTAAACAATATATTTAGAATTTCGATTTGCAATTATTCAACAATTGCTACGATTGCACAATAAAATAACTTACACCATACCTCCAACTTGGACAGATGTGTGTCATTAAGTTGTTGGGTGTTATTATCATAATGGCCTATCGTCTACCACCGGTATACCAAATTGCACATTAATCGAAAGTAGCGACTAAAATTATTTATTATAAATATCGTAACTGTTATAATATTATATGTTTACGGGACACCAATTTTTGTTGAATTAATTTTTAGAAATGTTCAGCACAATATATCATTATAAATGTTAATTTTTAGGATTTGAAGGTACTGAGGTACTCAATTTTTTTTTTGAACTTATAATATAATATACTACATAATAATAATAAAAAAAAATGTAATAATTCAAATGGTGTAATCGAAAATACTTATAATTGTATCGGCTTCAGAATTGAATGTATACAACAACAAAAAAATTAGTTTTCACGCATAATTTCACTTGCATTTTGCCAAGTATTATCCAAACACAATTAAAAAATTAAAAACAAATGTACTGGTTTAAATGACTTTATATACTACAAAAAGTGATATTGTAAATTTAAGCATGGAATTCTATGGATCGGGTTTAGCAGTATTAAATATTTATACTTCTTAGAACGAATGGAAATAGCATTTTTTTAAAGATAACACTTTGAAATAATTGTGGTCGATGAAAGAATATATTTACAGTTACGTCTATTGTTATTGACGATTGTTTTGAAGAGATTAAATCTGATGAATTCGAATACATACTTTATTAAAATAAAATAAACGTTTAGTAAAATATTTTTCTTTGAAATATTCTTTTGAACGAGGGTTCCTAAAATTAAAATATAAAACAATTTAAAAATTAAAAGTAAAAAACCTTTCGACAAAATATAGCTATTGCCTATCTTTTAACTTTCTTTCCAATTAATATATACCTACACGGCTACATACACATTACACATTTATAATTCAACGAAACATGCAATTATTTCTGTGAAAGAATATAATATAATACTTGCACTTCCGGAATACCGCAATTCAGTGTAGATAATAATGGACGATTTCGAATAGACACGGTATTTAATCAACTCCGTAATCCGTAGTTACTCATTTTATCGGACTACAAGAGATATATTATCTAAGTAAACGTATTAAAAAATTATCGAATCAAAGATAACGGGAATATTATTCATAAAATTATTTACACCATGAAACACAGAGAGTTACCTTCGACCTCCCATACTGTATAAAATATTATATTGTGTTAGGTACACAATATATTTTTAAAAATCAATTACCTTGCGATTCACAAATAAACTGTTATGCGTACAATGCACTATGATCATATAATAAACAGTCATCGGTAGAGGTAGGTTATAGGTACATTACACATCCAACAATATCTAATATAAATATCCACATGATTATTGCACACCTGTGAGATTAATTTTATAAACAGTTTTATAATGCAATAAATTGTTCATCAGTGCCTACATAGTATCATCATGAACTTAGGTGTACCTCATGTTTTTCTTCCATTTATTTAATACTATATTACCATTTTAAGAAAATGAAATTTAAAATGTTAAGACAAATACTTTCTAAGTACTGTTCTGTCACAAAAATGAAAAAAAATCTAACAAAAAAGAACGAAAATTTATCAGTTAAAAAATATAGGTATTCCCCAACTCTTTCACAGGTTAAGTATATGTATTTACTTATTATTTTTCTAATAATTCGTCCAATGATGATATAATATGATTGCAAAATTTGTTGTTATAAGAAATAATTCAATTATGTTTATATTTATATTTAATATGGGATAAACCCTTTTGAACATATATGACACATTACATATTTTTACATTATACATTTTTTAAATTGATTGAGTAATAATTTTTAAACTATGATTTTAAATAAAAAGTCTTTGTTGTATCGGCAATTAATTTCTGTGTACAGAATACTACCACAGATAGATTCATAATTTACATGAAATATACGATTTATTTTTATAGTGTTCGAACGAAATAGTCTAGGTAGGTACTAGGTATATATACTAATAATAATTAATATAATTACATACACCAAAATTCATAATAGATAACATATACAGATATATATAGACAAAATATAATA